GTTCATAATAAAGCGTCTCTTACATCACATCTTAAGGACAACAACAATCTATACACCCTGCATACATCACCTGACCTAGTTGTTGCAGATCGATAAGACTATGGTTTGCTGGCTCACTGGGACTAGCTTCAAAAGTAGGCCACTCAAACACTGCTGTGTAAACACGTGCATTGCCGCGTGCTTTGTCAGAATATTCGACATGCTGATGGAAAGAACTTTGTAGGAAGGAACCGAGTTGTAGGAAGAAACCGAGTTGATGGAAGGAACCGTGTTGTTGGAAGGAACCGTGTTGTTGGAAGGAACCGTGTTGTTGGAAGGAACTGTGTTGTTGGAAGGAACTGTGTTGTTGGAAGGAACTGTGTTGTTGGAAGGAATCGTGTTGTTGGAAGGAATCAAGTTGGAAGGAATCAAGTTGGAAGGAATCGAGTTGTTGGAAGGAATCGAGTTGTTGGAAGGAATCGTGTTTTTGAAAGGAATCGTGCTGCTAGAAAAAAAAAAACGTTTTGTACGACGGAACCGTGATGTTGGAAGGAATCGTGTGGTTTGAAGAAATCGTATTACTGGACGGAACCGTGATGTTGAAAGGAACTGTGTTGCTGGAAAGAACCGTGTAGTTGGAGGGAACCATGTTTTACGAAGGCAACGTGTTGTTGGAAGGAACTGTGCTGTTATATGGAACCGTGTTGTTGGAAGGAACCGTGTAGTTGGTAGGAACCGTGTAGTGTACAGTCACGTGTATATACTATTTTTTCATCGGGAAATGCGTGGAGTCGTCTATGTTGCAAGGGGGGGGGGGAAGATGACTAAGGTATAACAAGATCGAAAACTGACCAGCTACCAGCAAAAAGATAGCATAGAAGATTGACCAGCAATAAGATAGAAGATTTACCAGAAACAAGATAGAAAATTGACCAACAACAAGATAGAAAACTGACCAGCAACAAGATAGAAAATTGACCAGCAACAAGATAGAAGATTGACCAGAAACAAGATAGAAAAATGACCAGCAACAAGATAGAAGATTGACCAGAAACAAGATAGAAAATTGACCAGCAAAACGATAGAAGACTGACCAGCTACCAGTAACGGGACAGAATATTGACCAGCTACCAGCAACAAGATATAATATTGACCAGCAACAAGATAAAGTATTGACCAGCTACCAGCAACCAGATATAATACTGACCAGCTACCAGCAACAAGATATAATACTGACCAGCTACCAGCAACAAGATATAATATTGACTAGCTACCAGCAACAAGATATAATATTGACCAGCTACCAGCAACAAGATAGAAGACTGACCAGCTACCAGCAACCAGATATAAAACTGACCAGCTACCAGCAACAAGATATAATATTGACCAGCTACCAGCAACAAGATAGAAGATTGACCAGCTACCAGCAACCAGATAGAAGATTGACCAGCTACCAGCAACCAGATAGAAGATTGACGGGCTACCAGCAACAAGAAATAAGATTGATCAGCTACCAGCAACAAGACAGAAGACTGACCAGCTACCAGCAACAAGATTTAAGACTGACCAGCTACCAGCAACAAGATATAAGACTGACCAGCTACCAGCAACAAGATTTAAGACTGACCAGCTACCAGCAACAAAACAGGCCAACAATTTTCGGTACTGCCGAAGCAAGAATCTCATCTCCGTAGACATCGAGATAAGAGCAGTGTTGGATCAACATCGCTGTCCGGACGACATCATCATCTACACAGATAAGTCCGTGACACGCAGTTCAAGGTCGGCATGAGCGCTCCCACCCACACACACAGCGAAAAAGAGAGAGGGTGAGAGGGCACAGAGGATGGTGGAAACAATAAAAGAGGACAGTAGCGCGTACCACACCAGCATAAACATGGAGAATGGAGATAAGAGCATTTACACGGGCATCAGAACAGGCAGCAACACGCGTTGGTCATACAAGACTCCGCCATGAATATTGATCGGGCACTCTAGATTGATTTTAATGGACAGAATAATGAATAACGGTTAAAAAAAATCGAAAGATACAGGCATACCTTCAAATCATGTGACCACAACAAAAGGTCTATGATCAACATAGAGAACATTAATTCAGGCGTTGTATCACCAACATGTCACCAGGAACCCCAAGACCGTTATTTACAATGTCCTAGGCTGCACATTACAGCCCCAAGCGTGCATGCGTGCCGTGTACCCGGTCTGGACTGCTACCCAGAGATCAGAAAATCTTAATGTAGATGTTAGACCGATAGGACTTGAAGATTCGATGTTGTCAAGACTATAATAGGGTCAGTGCTGGCAGCAGACCAACAAGGCAAGCCCAGATAATCCTTTCAACCTCCAACGAAGTTATAATAAAGGCACCAGGAACGACCACGTGTGCCTCACGCGTCATGGCCTAGTAGTTTATTACAGTGGCCCGTAACCCTAAGGCCTGAGGTCAAATGCTGTGATAAGAAAGTAGCTGCGGTCGTCTGCAGCTCTGGGGTCAAAATAGCCTTTCGCTTTTATCAGGTCAAGGTCATTCAGCGGTAGACACTGCACACTTCATTCTGGGTAGCGGCACACGGCTGAGTCATTCCTTCGCGTTCAACTGTTCTAAACTCCGGCAGACAGTTCTGGTAGTTCGTCCACTTATGGATTTGTGGTCACGTTCCAGAACTTCAGTTGTGCGTGTACACCCCTTTTACAGATCTGGCTTCTGTATACACAGACTGTTAGTTATTTGCCCCTCAGGCAGATGCACACGGACTCCAAAGGAAACTTATTAATTAGCAGCCTTGTATGACATGCTTAGGGGCCCAGTGGGCATAATTGTATTTTTGGACCAAAATGGGGCCCCAGATTCCACACGGGAAAATCAACAACAATCGCTAGCTTACTCGTAATTATGCAAAGATAGGATTGATAAGAATAAGAAATAGCAGGCCATTAAAAAGAAGGCGGTGACGAAAACGATGATAATAAACGACGATAATGATGTGAAAAGAAGAAGAAGATGATGAGGATGAGAATGATGAAATAGCTGCAACCTTCTTTCAGACCATGTATGCCAAGAATCAAGCGGATAAATCTTGCCCGTCCAATCGTTCGCCTTATAATCCGCATACCAAAGCCTTACAGAAAGTCGATGACAAACATATCACTTCTGATCGGACATAAGAGTCACGTCAGAAAGAATTAGGCCACAATACATGTTTACGAAGCTGTCACGCTGCCTCCCCCACCACCTCCGACAGAAACAATGCGCGGGATCTATAGACTAGCGGTCCAACTGTGTAGGAAGTATGAGTTTGTTGGCAACCAGCCATATACACACATCACATGAAGAATTGATAGCCTCGGCGTTTCCTCGTATGCTGAGTGCACACAATGTATCGTATCTTGGGAAATTTCCTAATTAACGAACATGAATGACGAATCGCAAGAATGCTAGGCCTTCGTTTGGTATTTATCAACATGGCACAGCTGATATAAGCTTTTGACTTTCGTGGGTGGCCATCTGAGCCGCTCGACTGGTCGAAATTATGAAAAGACACTGAAAAAGCGTCACGGAAGGGAACTACCAGCATTAACAACAGCAGGAGTAGTAGTAGCAGCAGTAGTAACAGTAGTAGCAGCAGTAGTAGTAACAGTAGCAGAAGAGGAAGTAGCACTAGTAGTAGAAGTAGTAAGCAGCAGCAGTTGTAGTCTTCTTCTTCTCTGCGTTCACAAGCTGTACACTCTGGTGAAAAGTTTTGGTTGCTCGTCCACTTCTGGACTGCAGTCCTGTTCCAGAACCTAAGTGTTGCGCGTGTATCCGTTTGACAGATCTGACATGTTTGTATGCAGACTGTTGGTTCCTTGCTTCTCAGGCAGATGCACTCTAAAAGGAAGCTCCCAATTAGTCACTCTTACGACATGCTTTTTGGGTAGGCATGGGGTCTATTTTTGTTTTCCCTATAGTAGGGCCCAGGGACCCACACGGGATAGAAGCAGTAGTAGTGACATAGTAGTAGTAGTAGTAGTAGTAGTAGTAGTAGTAGTAGTAGTAGTAGTAGTAGTAGTAGTAGTAGTAGTAGTAGTAGTAATAGTAGTAGTAGTAGAGTAGTAGTAGTGGTAGTAGTAGTAGTAGTGGTAGTAGTAGTAGTAGTAGTAGTAGTAGTAGTAGTAGTAGTAGAGTAGTAGTAGTAGTAGTAGTAGTAGTAGAGTAGTAGTAGTAGTAGAGTAGTAGTAGTAGTAGTAGAGTAGTAGTAGTAGTAAAGTAGTAGTAGTAGTAGAGTAGTAGTGGTAGTAATAGTAGTAGTAGTAGTAGTAGAGTAGTAGTAGTAGTAAAAGAGTAGTAGTAGTAATAGTAGTAGTAATAGTAGAGTAGTAGTAGTAGTAGTAGTAGTAGTAGTAGTAGTAGTAGTAGTAGTAGTAGTAGTAGTAGTAGTAGTAGTAGTAGTAGTAGTAGTAGTAGTAGTAGTAGTAGTAGTAGTAGTAGTAGTAGTAGAGTAGTAGTAGTAGAGTAGTAGTAGTAGTAGAGTAGTAGTAGAGTAGTAGTAGTAGTAGTAGTAGTAGAGTAGTAGTAGTAGAGTAGTAGTAGTAATAGTAGCAGTAGTAGTAGTAGTAGAGTAGTAGAAGTAGCAGCAGCAGTAGTAACACAGAAGTAGTAGTTACATAGTAGTAGTAGATGTAGCAGCAGCAGTAGTAACACAGAAGTAGTAGTTACATAGTAGTAGTAGCAGCTGAAATGATGGTAGTGGCCGCGGCAGTGGTATAAAAAAGAATAAATGTGAAGGAAACATCAACATTTTAAAAAAAACGCTAACAATAATAACAGCAATAACAAGAATACTACCAGAAACTACAACAGAGTAACAAGACTAGAAGTGTAACAACAACAGAGGAACAAGACTAGAAGTGTAACAACAACAGAGAAACAAGACTAGAAGTGTAACAACAACAGAGGAACAAGACTAAAAGTGTAACAACAACAGAGGAACAAGACTAGAAGTGTAACAACAACTGCTCACCTCTAGCACGGATAGATCGCCAGCGATGTCCAGTGGTACCAGCGTCTCCTCACTGACGCTGCCTCGAAACGATCCTCGGGACACTGCACACGATACACACAGAGACAATGTAAAAATATACTACATACAATTATCAGGGACATCCGGAGGGGCACACAGGTATACAGTAATTACAGGCATCATCACTGACTAACCAGCTCAGAGTAACTGACAAGTCTTTCTTTTCTATCTGTTGTTCTGAGCTGACCAGTAATTATGTCAGTTACTCTGAGCTGGTTAGTCAGTGATGATGGTCAGCTCAGAACAAAAGATAGAAAATTGATCAGTTCTGAACAACAGATAGAAAAGAAAGACTTGTCAATTCAGGGCAAAAGACAGACCGAAGGATTGGTCAATTCTGAGTAACAGTTAAAAAGTTTGGTCAATTCAGAGCTAAAGAACAGATAAAAAGGCTGGTCACTTTAAAATAGACAGAAATGTTGACCAGTTCAGAGTCGCCTTCTTCATATGCCTTTTATCCGGCAATGTAGCATAGACGCTGGGAAATAAAAGCGGTCGGTGTGATGCTGACTAGATCACCCATCCAGGCAATGGTCAAAAACGTGAGCCTAGCCTCATATAGCTGCTGCACCACTGGAGCTTCCATCGAGCTTTCAAATGGAGCATAGGCCCTTTTTTGATCTGCCTTTATTTCTATGTTCCTGTGGGTTCCAGTAAACAAAAAATTATAGTTACATTCTTCTCAGGTTTTCTGGACATTTGTCTTATCCATCGCCAGCATCTTTTCTTTTTCTCTTCATTTACTGGAATGTGTTTATTTCTCTCCAGTGTTTTCCATTAGTTATTCTAATAATAACAATTAATTTCCTATATTCTGAGCAGCTCAGAGTAACAATTAGAAAGACTAACCTGTTCAGAATAACAGAAAGATTGGTCAGCTCAGAGTAACAGGTAGAAAAATTCACTCCCTCAGAGTAAAAGATAGAAAGACCTAGAGTAACAGATAGAAGATATACCAGCTCAGAGAAATAGACAGAAAAACTGGCCATCTCAGACTAATAAATAGACAGACTGACCAGCTCAGAGTAACAGTTAAAAGACTGACCAGGTCATAGACAGATAGACCAGCTCATTATAAATGCTAAAAATATGGGTGATGTTTTCTGAAGTGATATCCAAAACTTAATGATGTCAAAGTTTGACTAGAAGGGTCGACGAATAAAATGGCACACCAAGATATAAATTAGGGTTCTGGCCACACTCTTTATCAACTAACAACAAAACAACATCAGTACACAGCTATATTTTGACAGTTCCCCAAAATGTAGTAATGTTTTCACTACTTTGTTGGATGAAGGGTTTGTGCTCGCTAAAAACGTCCGTTTTCTGGTTTGGTGGAGGTGGTTGGGAAAGGGGAGCGGAAGTGCTGGGTTTTGTTGAGTAACTTACTCAACAACTTATGTGTTGTATAACAGCTGTTTAGCTTGCACTCGTGTGTCTAAAATCTCGTTAACCATTAAGTTACCCAGATGTTGTATGTCTGAAGTCCCACTAATATGTACTCACCCCAATTCTGTATGTCAGAAAGCTAACCCATTACGTACCTAACTTGAGGTTGTATATGTATGTGTAAATGTTTATCAATCATCAAATTAATTCCGCTGCTGTATTTTTAGATTGTTACTCAACATGTACTCACCTTGCTGTTGTATTTCTAGAATCTGTTTGATCCCTTCGCAGAAGTCAGGGAAGTTGATGACCCCACGTCCTTCAGGGTCCAGTAGGTTGATAATCACAGTCAACTCCTGGGAAAGACAGTTGTGTATTGCACATGATTTCTCTGCTATTAAATCAAACAAACGAAACATCAAGAAAAGCATCCACCTGCCCTACATTGGTAGCAGTCAAATCTGCTATATTCAGTCTATGACTCCAGAGTCCCCACCCCCCCCCCCCCCCCCTCCTAAATGCGTAAGGCAGCATCAGAAGTGCCAAAAGAAGTGTTCTTTGGCAAAAATCCATTCACCCTTTTCCGAATTTGCAGTTCCCAGAACAGACCTCGTTTGGCAAAGTCGAAAAACCCTTCAAATGAAATCCGCAGCTCACAGTGTTGCGCCATGCTCTCAGCTCTGTAGCTTGGCGACGGAACTATATCCTTTCAGTCTACATATGGAGGAAAATTCAACAGCTAACTTTTTCCAGCCTTAAAAACCTGCCACAACTAAAAACAGTAAACCTAAATATCCGCCACACTGGCAGGAAGCGCCAAATGAGATAGAAGCTGGAACCCACAGAAACAATGGAAGGTTGACTTGCTCAGCTGAAACGCTAGATTGCTTCTGTGCGCCCAATTCATAGTTCGTGTTGTTCAGTGAATACAACTATATAAAAGACCAAACTGCTAGAAGCCCACCGAGATATTAATTCTAAACTATCAACATAAAGATTTGGGGAGAATACGGTACCATACAGCCTGCTAGAATCTACACCACAAAGATACTGACAGCGTACAGCACAGCACAAGGAAGATTCAAAACAAAAGCCGCAGCAGATCTATCGGAGCCAGCCAAACAACAATGATGGTAAAGATTATGCTGAATCTCGCTGGTTACAACATGCTGAGCAAAAGTGTGCAATGTAATTTACGCCTTCGCCTATTTAAAAAAAAAATATGGTATGAACTAGGGCTGTACAAATAGTGATTTTCTCTATTCGACCGAATACGAATAACAGGACCAACTATTCGGCCGAATACGAATACGAATAGTGTATAAAATATATCTATATTTAAAAAAAAAAACGCATTCATAATGTCAAATGTACGCTGAAATATTACTTCACATACAGTAGCACAGAATAGTCATCTTCTTCTTTAGCATTCTGAGCCCTTGAGGTTTAATGTTGCAGATATCACTCGTTTCCATTCATCTCTCTGGCTGGCCTTCTCTTCATAATTTGTGACACCAGTTGTTTGCAAGTCTGGCTGGACATTATCTCTCAAACTTCTTTTATGTCTGCCCCGTGGTCTACGCCCATTCCTCTCTCAGGTGTATACAGTTTTTACTTCTCTGTCATCTAACATTCTTTTAATATGCCCCAACCATTTTAGTCTGTTAGCTCTCATAATGCAAGTGATCATTGGTGATTTAAACAGGTTATGGGTTACGTTATTGCTTCTCACTCTCCATTCCCCGCTGTTAGCATTTTTGATGTGTCCAAAGATTTGTCGTAAGACTATTTTCGAAAACCTGTAATAAGGCCTCACCTCTTTTATTTCTGCTTCAAGTTTCAGAGCCATATAAAACAACTGGTCTTATCAACGTTTTATATATTTTGATATTGGTGTTGCGAGACAGACACTTTGACTTTAGTAGATGTCGAAGGGCATACTATACTTTATTTCTAGATTGCATTTCTTCTCTTAGAATGTTGAAGCAGTTGAAGTTTGCACCCAAGTACTTATATGTTTCCGTTCGCTTGATTTTCATATTATCTACTTGGATGTGGCCGGAGTTTATATTCTTTCCATGTTAGTATTCGTAGAGATTAGTAAACATTTAAAAACATTTTATGTTTTGCATCCTTCAGTCAGTCTGTGGTAACTAATAACTAGGAATGAAAGAATCCTGAGTATTATAACAAGTAACTAAACTTGGAAATTGTCACTGACATCTTAGTTAATGCATGAAAGCTGCATTAGCTTTCAACAAAACCAATCGTTCCATGTTGTCAGTATTAAGACCGTGTATGCAAAAGCGGGTGTAAGGTAACTTCTATTCGTATTCGGCCCGACCGCAACTATTCGGCCGAATACAGAGAATAGTCAAAATGTCCACTATTCGGCCCCGAAGCGAATACGAAGAGAATATTCGGTAAAGCGGTACATCCGTGAACCGGAGTTACGACTAGCTGTCTGGTTCAGGCAACATCTTACGATGTGCAACACGGCTTCGATGGATTTCAGTTCGCATGGTCACAGTGGTGTCTTCCACATAAAAGTTAAGGCCATAAAGTCTTGCTAGTCCAGTGGTAGAGTTCGGTAGTCTCTTAAAAACTGTCTTATTTATCTTATGGACTCCCACTTGTCTTAGGGCCTTTAACGTCCAACACAGCTTTATCTAAAAAATTTAGTGATGACCCTTGCCTGTTACACCTCTTGCTATTTAGTATTCATTTCCTGCATTGGCAGGTGTCTCAGAGCTTTAACTGGCCAGACACACTGGTAATTCTTGGAGACCTGTGTTAAGTGAGTTGCGTGTATTCTTGTTTGTAATTGTAATAATTTCTATTTATGTCGTGTGCTGACGAAGGTTTACTAGCTGTAATATTCACTTGACGTTCGTAACTGCGATGATGTGAAGCTGACTAGTTCTACTTCTCGTTTGCTCCGATATCGTGTCATGGCATTCCCTAAAATATCTATGGAAGTTGGAGACCAGCTCCCTTCATTGAGGCATTTCTTTTTTCTGTGTCATGACAAGATATCAACTTAGGCACCTACTTCCCTGGATCGAAGGGTCAAGGCTGAATTGTGATTTCTTATAAAACCCGCACCATTTAACCACGGAAGTAAGCCCAGAATGTTCTAACTATATTTCATCATCATCGTGTGAGATCAGATGGTCTAGGCGCACTAGTATCTATGTGGAGTTGGGTCCATTCTGTTCAATGTTACTTTTGTTCAGGAAATTCCCGCAGAACATTGTTCTAGTTGCTCTGGCTGTCTACAAATCCATAACGTTTGTCTGATATATCACATCTCCACTTGCTCCAGTCTCTACATAATTGTTCTATCGCATTATAAAATCCACTGGCACACTCTCAAAGTGACACCAGTTTCGGGGAGGGGAACTAGCGAGACATATCTTTATGGTGATTGTCTATTATTGTCTCGGTTGCCTTTTTGCTGTTTGCTCTTTATACAGCTGAATTCACTGAACAAAACAAACTATGACTAAGAATAGCAATGAAAAAAAAGGAAAGGGGGGGGGGGGGTTAGAGAAATTGATATAAGTAACCTACAAACGGTATTCCCACTACATGAGGCATCATTACTCAGGTCTTTCCCTTGTCATTTGCTCTAGCGAATATTCGATCATTTTGTAATTGCAAAATTACAGAAGTTCTAGAAACCTGCCAATTCATCCTATCCGACGGATGTTGATGATTTGTTTGCGTACACCTACTGTAAGCTCTAGCGAAATTTATGGTTGTTCGTCCCCTTCCAGACATTAATCTTGTTAAAGAACGTGAGTTTTTCAAGTGCAGATCTGGCTTTTTCGTGGGTAGACTGTTAGTTCCTCGCCTCAGGATGAAGCACTCTGACTTCGAAGGGAAAATTAACTAGTCGTCCTTTACGGCATGCTTGATATTAGAGTAAAGGGTCTATTTGTGTCCCCCTCCGCAGCGTCATCACCACACGGGAAATGTTCTGGACAATGGAGCCCTAACAGTTATAGCCTGATGGTGGTAATAACAGTACCCATAGACCCATAAATGCCGCAGCCATCCGCTGTTACCTTCTGTATAACTGACAGTGAGTCAGACAAAAACACGACTTTTGCTTATCTAATCCCTGCGGCCAGCGGAGTGCTGCATTAACTGTCTAAAATTTATGTCATCATCCACATGCGAGATGTTGTGACCGCATAAGCTCTACTAGTTTCTTCTGCAGACCTACACCGGACTTCAGCCATCTCCCTTGAAAATAAAGGAAGCAAACAAATGTGGCTAGGCTTAAGAGACGCTGCTTGGGTATGAAATAAAAACTAGGCGTTTAGCTTATCAGTTTATGTACACAGACATCTCATACACTCAGATACGCTTCCTTTGTTCTTGCAATTGCCTTTCCCTTCCGGAGCTGAAGACTTTACCACATGCAGACCCCTGGCATGCAGCCATTCCTAGATACACAGAGGATTTTATTGTTGTCCTTGTCAATAAGTCGATAACAGCACCACTGCTTTTACAGCTAGCTGCTTGGCATTGCACGTGATAGAAATGTGTGTCCAGTTTTGGTTAAAGGAACTCATGAATCTACAATTGTTCCTTTGTACTCAAGTACATGATCTCCGCAGTTGAAAGCTCGCAGTAAGTATTGAAACTGCAAGTATACCAACAGAATACCAACCAAGGTGGCAATGATCAGCAGCGACCACTGCAGGACTGGACTTCGAGCACTGCAGTAAAGGAACATTAAACTTGATTGTCCATACAAATGATCTCAATGATCTATGACAGTGCGTAAAGAGACAGAAAAAAATCACGCTGGAATAGCTTGCCAAGATGGTGGTTGCAGTTCTTCTTCTCGTTTACCGGCTGTAAACTCTGGCGGAAAGTTCTTGTAGTTCGTCCACTTCTAGACCTTGTCTTCTTCAGAAAACTGAGTGCTGCATGCACTTCCATTTTACAGTTTTAGCTTATTTGTATAGTCTGTTTGTTCGTTGCTTTTCAGGCAGATGAACTTCGGCTTCGACAGAAGCCCTAATTAGTCGACGTACTACAAGCATGTTGAGAAGGTAATGGGTCTATTCTTTTTTTGCCCCACAAAGCGAAGGCCCAGTTCAATCCCCATAAGAGGACAAATAGAGCATGGGCTACACAAAAATCATCAAAAACAAGTGCACATCTCTCTAAGAGGTAGTAAGTCCGAGGCAGAGAGAGAACACACAAAAGGCCAAAAACAATAGATCGATGTAGTTTCCGATAATCTGGTTACATGTTTTTACTGTGGTAGCACACTTCCGCTGGCTATGAATACGTCAACGTAGGCTGATGCCTGATCAATACATTCCTCTCACCGCGT